AATATTAGTAGTTTTGTTCTGCATATGTCAGACAAATCAGACATGACAACAATAACGGTAACTTTTATTATGTTGATTGGCTTACTCGGTATGCTATAATGGCACATAAATGTATGATAAATTTGTGTTTCGCTAGTAAATTAAGTGGTAAAATAGGAGAATTTAGGTATCGCAGTATGTTAAGAATGTTTTACAGGATAATTTCTGAATTCCCGAATTTAGTAAGCCTTAAAAGCAATTATAGTATAAAAATAATCGGATACCTACAAGCTCTAATTTAATAAAACAATATACTGCAAGATCTGTTAATGAAAACAGAAACATATACTACCATGCTCTCGCATCTGCTGATTCGACATCCGGGGTTTCACTTTCTGTGGCTCAGGAAATATGGATAAAATAATTTGCTGTAAGTTTCGAAATGCTCACGGAATGACAACAGATCATATCACAACCAAAATACTACACCTCTGGCATAACCAATGCTATATCAAACATCTGTATACTCACTTCAGGGCGATGTAACTAAATACGGGAGATGGAAATGTCATAGCGGAAGCTTGCGCATATTCTCAGTTTATAGGAAGCCCCTCATACCCTGAGCTCACGCCCAAGCTTCATGATCATAAGTATGCTGGTCTGGAATATCGGCTATCAAGTAAGTAAAGAGTATTTAGCTTATTCTTTATTTTCGTTCTCCTGCTCTTAGAGTTTCTTATTTAACATAATAAGGCCCCAAAACGTAAGGCCAGTGATCATTCTTATACGTACCATTCTTTGAAACAATATGTTTTACTATACAGCACAAGAATTACAGCTATTAATCATTTTTAAGAACTAACTTAAATACATTTAAATAAATTTTAACTAACTTAAAATACTGGAACCTCTTACTTTTACAGATACTAGGAAAAGAGAGTGTATCCTAGTGTACAAAATATTTTATATCATTTTATTAAGCAATGCAGTATACAGTATATTGTAAAATACAGAATAATGTATTATTACTTTATTTCATGATGGTAAGTTATTAGTCACATGATTTATCAATTAAAATTGATAAACTGAGAATAAAAGCTTTCACTACAATCTGCGGTTTTTAGCCCACCAGCGGCCGAGCGGTAAAGTCGCTGAACACTGGTAGTTCGGTCCGAGGTTCGAATCCCGCGAACGGGCTGGCTGCATGGGTTTTTTCGTGGTTTTTCCCATGTGTAACGTGTATACGAGCCAGTTACCCTTAGAAAGTCCTCCACGAAGGCATCCCTCCCCTTAGGCAAATAGCCCTCGAGGCTTTTCCGTAATTAAGTAACCTAACCTAACAATCTGCGTTTTAACATAACAAAGCTACCCATGAAAAGGGAAATATTGCTGCATGCTACGCTCACGCAATTCATCAATATGAGAAATAAAAATTAATGTAATGATAACTGGAATAAGTACATTACTGCTTGAAAAAAAGTGAGTTCGTTAAATTCCGTCATGTTAAACTGAAAATAAACGAAGTAAGTGATAATGTGCAGAAGATGCCTCACATGATAAACACTTGTGGCTTTAATTTGATAAAATTGCTGCTATGATTGTCTGCTAAACATTCTTTAGCGTATCACTTATGGCAAAGCAAGCAAAATCTATCAGTTTAACAGATGTTTTTATGGCTGATCCTAATAATGTCTATTAGCATGACAGGCGTTTCAAGAAAAAAATGTTTTAAAGAACTGGTTAATGTTACATTAAAAAAATTCTTGCAAATATTTCAAAGCTGGGACATTTAGAATCAAATTGACGGCTTGAGGAGTAAAGTGGCTTTCTCATCTCGGTGACAGGTAAGTTCTAGAGTGTAAAATATTCGACGATATTTCTCAGTTAACAAAATCATTTACCTCGAATATGAATGGATGCATGTAATTGTTTCATTCCCACACATGGACACTTTTTTTACGTATTATTGAAATCGTATAAATTCCTTTTCATCACATTCATTTGTTGATATTATCTTCCTAGTATGCAGATTCTTTGGGCATTAAAATTTCGTCGGTTACCTATTACGCGGGTTGAAATGTAAGGCGATTGAATCTCCCTGCCATCCAATTCGATATGTGGATTTTTTAAAGAAAAGTAATCACGTGCTTTTGAATTGTACATATTTTCATCGTTGAAGTAGAGAAGTAAAACTTAATTCTTAAAATTTAGCGTTACTTGCAACTTCGATAACAGGAAAATTTTGCCCTATCAGAAAGTAACTTCTTGTTTATATAATACTCATATGTGTATATAGCTCTGAGGTCGGTCTCGTGCTAAGTGAATTGACCATTTTTTCAATTATTTTGTATATTATTTCTTTGCATTTATTATGTTTTGATTTTTTAAGCGTACCAAAATTTGATTTTGTAGTATAGGTTTTTAACAAAATTGTTTAGTATTTTCTAAGTGCCAATTTGGATTTTTCTTTTTTAAGTTTTCTTAAATTTTGTTGTACTTTACTTAGGTTTTTATCACGTAAAATTTAACTGCTTTCATTTAGTGTAAGTGTTTGTACATGGTGTTACTTGTAAACTTTGGAATTAACTGCATCAAATAAATTTAAAGCTTTAGATATTATAAACTGTCCTTTCCCTTTAAATCTTATTTCAAAATTTGCAGCTCAAGGCGCAATTTTTTGACCTATCATTTTTAATTTGCTACTTTCTACTTTTGTATATATATATATATGTTGTATGATCTTAAATTCACTTATTTCGAAAGCAAGTTATTCTAATACTTGTGCAATAGCTGCAAAGTAAGATAATAATTTATTTACTAAAGAAATATTGATTATGTTATCTCCTAATATTAATTTTAGTAGAAGTATCTAAAAAGAGGGAACCCGTAGGGAGGAAGTTTAGTACCGAAAATTGTTTTAAAGTAACTTGAATGTAAATTGTTAAAAATGTTTTACGGGGACTTGAATTAAATCATGAATAACAAAAGTATTTTATCAATTTTACTACATAAATTGCTTTTCACTCAAAATTGTATTCGCAAAAATGCTTAATAAGAATGAGTTCTTTGGTACTCTGGTTCTAAATACCTTCACTTCACGGAAATATTTGGCCTAACTTAATTTGCCAGTTTGGCATCACCATTATTAATTGAGTAAAAGACGAAACACCTTCATATTATTATTAATTATTGTTCATTGAACGGGAGTTGGTTTGTTCCCCTTGAAAAGTCAACTAATTTCCGATCAATGATAATAATTACTTGCTTTTAATTTAATTTATTTTTCCAATTGAAATTTTGTTATTCATGATCTAATTCAAGTCCCCGTAAAACATTTTTAACAATTTAAATTCAAGTTACTTTAAAACAATTTTCGGAATTAAACTTCCTCCCTATGGGTTCCCTTTTTATATACTTCTACTAAAATTAATATTAGGAGATAATATAAAAAATATTTCTTTAGTAAAAATTTTTATAATATATATAATATATCAAAGATTGAATTAAGAAACTGAAATTCATTGAAATCGAAATAAATTTCCTAATACTTGGGAAATAGCCGCAAAGTAAGATAATAATAATTTATTTACTAAAGTAAATATTAATTACAGTAAATAAAATATGTATATTATATATTGAAATATATATATATATATGTATTTCATTGTACAACAGTTAGCGAAACAGCGTATTGTGCATTTTGGAAGAAATAATATTACAAAATTTAGATGAATGTTTTTAATAACTTTTGTTAAAAGAATATTTTTCATTTAGAGGCAAACACCATCCTTTAAAGTTACGGTTGTTTATTTAGACATTTCGCTTGGAAATATAAGTTTATGTACTCAATCTTAGATGCTATAATTAAACTATTGGATTAAGAATTTACCCAAAGAAGTTTAAATAAACATTATGAAATGTACAAAGCTACAAAAATAAAATGTGGGAATGAAATATTAAAAGCAAGTATATAAGCTTGAAGATAAAACATGTATACTTTAACTGAAAGGCATAAGGAATAAATATTAAACCCAAATCTAATGCGTGAAAGCGCGAGAAGTATATTTGCATAAGAGAAAAGATGCTTTTACGAAGGACTTTCTAATGGAAACTGTTTCCTATAAGAGAAAAGATGCTTTTACAAAGAACTTTCTAATGGAAACTGTTTCCTATAAGAGAAAAGATGCTTTTACGAAGGACTTTCTAATGGAAACTGTTTCCTATAAAAGAAAAGATGCTTTTACGAAGGACTTTCTTTATTAGAGTATTAGAGTATGGCAAAGCACTCGAGGGCTATCTGCCTTAAGGGAGGGATACCTTCGTGGAGGACTTTCTAGGGGTAAACTGCTCGTATACACGTTACACATGGGAAAAACCACGAAAACACCCATGCAGCCAGCCCGTTCGCGGGATTCGAACCTCGGACCGAACTACCAGTGTTCAGCGATGTTACCGCTCGGCCGCTGGTGGGCCCCACGAAGGACTTTCTAATGGAAACTGTTTCCTATAAGAGAAAAGATGTTTTTACGAAGGACTTTCTAATGGAAACTGTTTCCTATATGATGCAAGGGGAAAACTTAGGAAATATCTTCATAGCTAGCTCATGACGCCAGTCTCAAGGGTAGGTCGAAATTGCCAATTATAAACTGAGTTACCTTCTGTCATTGATGGATTTTCCAAAAGAATGAATTATAGAGGGATTCGAAGTCTAAAATAGTTTAAAGCTATATATTTTTTTACCATTACATTTTAAATCCGTGACTGGAATGCATGAGAACAAAACAGTACAGGTTCAATTTTTCACATATTAAAATTGAATGTAGATTAGGTATTTAAAGCTAAGAAAAGTAGAAAATTTCGGACTCCACTAAAAAATGACACAGTCCACAAGAATTTTTCTTGACTAGTTTCAAGCAATGTGAAAAAAATGACAGATCTATTTAAAATCTATAGATATCAGTAACATAATTTTTTTCATAAATAATTAAGAGGGGTATTAAATTAAAATATAAACAACTTACAGAAGACAGTTGATGAGGACATCTACCATGGTAACTCAGCAAAAGCTTTAAATTGAACAAAATCTATATCCAGTTCAGAACCACCGCATCATGAGGTTGGCCACAGAATAATTTAACCAAAGTAGCACAAATTTTTTTCTAAAATTCCCTTCTCTGGGAAACAATACAGCCCACGCTAGCAAACGCCGAACCACGCTACCTCCTGTGATGAGTAACTAAAATGTTCTGCCCGCCAGAATTCATACAGGTTGCAACGCGGTTTGGGATTGTAGGTGGCGCTGTTGAGCAGAAGGATTGAAGTAAGCAGGGAAATCCTTTCAAGACGAAAGGTTTTTCGGCCCACTCCCAGATTGTGTCATAGAACAACGAGCAAAAAATAAGTTCTAAAATTCTTTTCTAATTTCCTTTGCGATGTACAGCTGAAAATGCTATGAAAGTATAGTAACATTAGAAAAGAATACTGTGAAAAACAGTAAAATTTGGTAATTCTGTTGTTAGTGAATGACGCTTTGGTTTAATGGTCTTCCTATTATTGTGCATATCAGTAAAAGATGTGGTTTACATATAATAGTGATAAAAACAACACGAACCGGCAATGAAGGCGTAAATATGGTTTAAAGGATAAAAAAGGAAGCAACGACATCTCTCGGAATGAAGTTTCAAAATGGATAAATGTAGAAAACAGGGTTTGGTTAGGTTATTTAATTACGGCAAAGCCTCGAGGGCTATCTGCCTAAGAGGAGGGATGCCTTCGTGGAGGTCTTTCTAATGGAGACTGGCTAGTATACGCGTCACACATGGGGAAAACCACAAAAACACCTATGCAGTCAGCCCGTTCGGGATTCGAACCTCGGACCGAACTACCAGTGTTCAGCGACTTTACCGCTCGGCCGCTGGTGGGCCGCACTGTTTATGGAAACAATCATTTACAGGAAAGCAATTCAATACTTTTGACATCAGGAATTTCTTCCTGTAAGAAATTTTAAGGGAACTGTTTTGCATAATTGTTGCGAGAGGGAAAACCGTGAAAACGCGTGTGGAGTCAACCTGTTTTGCGACCTGGTACCTAATCAGAGATGAAAGTCTCAGCGATCAGTGCGCTTATCTACCTAATATTCGTGTTACTGTATTTATGGCAACACTAAGAATGTCCTTCACTGTTTTATCGTTTTTACATATTGGTGATGCGGGGCCTCTTAAAATTATAATGAAACGTAAGTCTTTGATTTTATTCTCTAATTCTCATTTGTATAAAATTTTGTAAGTATGATATTTTATGTATTAATGTAGAATTAGTTCCGTACTTTTTATAAAGTGTATTATTAGGATATTTATTCTGTGCATACATTCAGTAATCCTAAAAATACGTTTTTTGCAAAAAAAAAGTAACAGCGGAATTTAATTATTTTGTAGAGACGTTAGGTTATTTTGAAGCAGCCTCTTAAAATTATAACGAAACGTAAGTCTTTGGTTTTATTTTCTAATTCTCATTTGTATAAAATTTTGTAAGTATGATATTTTATGTATTAATGTAGAATTAGTTCCGTACTTTTTATACGGTGTATTATTAGGATATTTATTCTGTGCATACATTCAGTAATCCTAAGAATACGTTTTCTGCAAGAAAAAGTAAAAGCGGAATTTAATTATTTTGTAGAGACATTAGGTTATTTTGAAGCAGGAGAGATAAAAAAAATGAGCAACGCCCTTGCTGGGACTCGAACCGCGGACCTCTCGAATACGCGTCGAGCGTGCTGACCGCTACACCACGAAGGCATGCTAAGCGGGAGAAATACCTTATATACTCCCTCTTTTAAAGGGCGACTGGGGATTACGGGATCCAATCACCAAATCCTGGTGGCGGAAAACTATTATCCACCACCATTTTTAGTTCCACTGTAGAGAAATTAGGTTGTGAAAACAGGAGAGATGAAAAATCAGCAATGCCTTGGCCGGGACTCGAACCACAGACCTCTCGAATTCGCGTCAAGCAGACCACGAAGGCATGGTAAGAAAATGGGATAAATACCTTATAACTTTGCCTACTTCAGTTTCAGGATCAACAGCTTGCAATAAATTATCTGGTTGTCTGTAGATTTGCCATTTAAATCTTTGCGATACTTAAATAATAATAGATTATTATATAAAGTTCCCCATGAAAGGTGAGAGTAATACCCCTCTGGTAACTTGAACTTAAAAATGTAACTCATTAATTTTGTAAAGTAATTAATAAAGTTAATTAATTTTGTAAATCATTAAAAATGTAACTTAAAAATGAACTCAAATAACTTAAACTTAAAAATGTAAAAAGGGAGGTGGTATTGTAAGTAAAGCATCAAAAGAGAAAAATGACTGCGCTTTTAGGACATTCAAATTTGTTAATTATAATTCTAACTGGCAATTTACAGTCAATAGCACTCGAAATCCCCAGAGCTGTTTTTAGACGTTGAAATCACCAAATTCTTTTTTTTCCTAACCAGTATGACATCATCATAATTTTGTCTGTCATATTTTTGCTCGAGGCAACAAAGAGATTCATTGCAGAACACCGCTGTGTTGATCTGGCTGGACCCGGTGGAAGGCGTTTTCTGCTGCAATTAGAAAGACGGCTATGAATACAGCATCAGGTGCTCTTTCCTTAATAAGAAATATGTATCCCATTGCTTGGTGACCGAGTAGTGACTGCATAACAATATGTTGCCGGAAATCAGAGGCGTATGCTGAATTTCTACAAGCAACATGCTGCGTAACATCAAATTTTAAAAATGTATATTAATGTGTGGGTTTCTGCATAATATGCATTTCAAAAATGGCTGTATAATTTGCAAATTAATTTTATTGAATATTGCATAGCTTGTATAATAATGAAATACACACGATAAAAATTTTAAAATTTCATTAGTTTTAAAGACTGAAGTGGAAATTTTTATAAAATTTTAAAATCTGTTAAATTATTAGACAGTTTGTATTGTAATTAAGGTAAAATAACACGCCGAACAAATATTAATTTGGAAGTCAAACACCAAAATTGGCAAATATAACTCTGAGTTTTGTTGTTTGACTTCTAAATTAAAGTTCATATTATAATATTTTCAATTTATAATATTTTCAATGTTGCTGTGGTATGCACATGGTTTTAAGTGATTTACACTTTCATTTTTTACCTCAACAGAAAAATAAAGAACAATCAGTTCAAATATTTCGTTGTACGAATTAGTTCTAAGTCCAATTTTCTTTAAATTTTAGAAGATAGCTCACGAATTCAGACTAGTTATAAGATCCACATCTTCCACATTTTCCGCATCTTGAATACGTTATTATTTCATAAAATCCGTACTCCACATTTTCAGTGCACATTCTCTTCTTCTATAAAACAATCCTTTCATCCCCCCCCTGCAAATTTATTTTTGCCTGAGTTATGAAATTCAATGTATATATATATATATATATATATATATATAAATTTAAACAAATTTAAATTTAAATTTTTAACAAACACGTAGTAAAAAAAAAGCAAATTTAAAGCCAAAATAAGAAAAAAAGAAAAGAAAAAAAACCAAAAGTTTTAAAAAATTTTTAAAAAATGTGCAAACATATAAAAGATTTAATTCTCGAACTAATCTACAATATCGTTTAAATTCAGAAGCATAAGCAAATCAAGATTGTTTCAAAAGAATAAATTGAATTTATTAAATAAATTTAATTTAAAATACAAATTTAATTAAATATTCTTTGCGCCATTGCTGAAAGGAATGAAATTTAAATTTAAACAAATTTAAATTTAAATTTTTTACAAACACGTATAAAAGTAAAAAAGCAAATTTAAAGCCAAAATAAAGAAAAAAAGAAAAAAAAGCCAAAATTAAAAAAAAATTTTTTTTTAAATGTGCAAACATATAAAAGATTTAATTCTCGAACTAATCTACAATATCATTTAAATTCAGAAGCATAAGCAAATCAAGTGCAAAACCAATCCATGAAAAAATGATATTGTAGATTAGTTCGAGAATTAAATCTTTTATATGTTTGCACATTTTTTTTTAAATTAAAAAAAAATTTTGGCTTTTTTTTTTCTTTTTTTTCTTTTTTTCTTTTTCTTTTTTTTTTTTTTTTCTTTATTTTGGCTTTAAATTTGCTTTTTTACTTTTATACGTGTTTTTTAAAAATTTAAATTTAAATTTGTTCAAATTTAAATTTCATTCCTTGCAGCAATGGCGCAAAGAATATTTAATTAAATTTGTATTTAAATTAAATTTATCGCAGGGACTCGAACCTGTACATCTCGAAAACGCGCCGAGTGTGCTAACCGATACACCACGAAGGCATGCAGAAAGGAGGGAGAAAAAAATATTATACAGTTATTTGATACTGACAAAATGCTTAGAAAAGTGCTATTAATAATCATTTTAAAAACTTGGAAATTCTCGATGTTATATTAGAACAAGCTTTGAACTTCCCCTGTGTGAGCGATCTACAAAAGATATACATTTGACTCAGTAAATGAAAATACCTAGGAAGCTTTATAAAGGTGAATTAATATAAATAATGAAATTTTAAACTGACTGATACATTATAAATTTCTTCGGAAAACAAAAACGGTCGCTTATAGATTTTCATCAGTCTGCTGGTACTACAGATAAGTAAACTTACATAAAATTGTTAAATCTAAACAAGAGAAGAAAAAGTAAGTAAAGTTATCCGAGGATATTTTACTGTTTCTAAAAATGAAAAAAAAAAAAAAAAAAAAAAAAAAGCCGTGCTTGTTTGAGCACCATTAAAAACAAATCTCAGTTTATTTCATTAAAAAAGCATAATCTTCTAGTACAGAAAAACTAAATACTGGAATACTATGCTGTTTACCAAATATATATATATATATATATTTGAATTTCATAACTCAAGCAAAAATAAATTTGCAGGGGGGGGAATGAAAGGATTGTTTTATAGAAGAAGAGAATGTGCACAGAAAATGTGGAGTACGGATTTTATGAAATAATAACATATTCAAGATGCGGAAAATGTGGAAGATGTGGATCTTATAACTAGTCTGAATTCGTGAGCTATCTTCTAAAATTTAAAGAAAATTGGACTTAGAACTAATCCGTACAACGAAGTATTTGAACTGATTGTTCTTTATTTTTCTGTTGAGGTAAAAAATGAAAGTGTAAATCACTTAAAACCATGTGCATACCACAGCAACATTGAAAATATTATAAA